AAAAATTCATATTATTAGAATACATTGGTATAGAAGGAACTAGATTCTGTTCCGAAATATCACTTACTCGAACCGTCCTGACCGCGTAGCTCAGTTGGAAGAGCATTGGGCTAGTATTCCAAAGGTCGTAGGTTCGAATCCCACCGTGGCCGGGCGTATTTTTCATGCTCGCCCGGTGTGGATATACACTCAAAGATTGTCATTGTTATTCTACAAATTGCACGCTTGCTCTCAAGATGTTTCTCTAAATTTATCAGACATCTTTAATTTACTCCCCGTTCTACCCTGTGGTGTCTCTGTATGTATAACGTTGACTGTAACAGGATCATCTAACTTAAAATTAGCATTCGATTGGACAATCCGCTCAATTCCGGCAAGAACTCGCTCTGCAGTTATACTCTTTGACGAGGCTTAAACGGTAAATAAACTTGGTGTGTCTATATATATAGTTGTGGCGTTTGAAGTAAGAAACGGGTTTCATCAGTCATGGGAACACCGTCCAAAATTCTATCTAACATATTTTCAAATACTTCATGCAACTGTCTTAACTTATCAGGTAAATCCGCGATGCTGGCATATCATGAAATTGAACTTTATAGTCAAGCCTGGTTGTTTTAAACTCGGTTGTTTTCACGCGGACTTGTTTTTTTTTTACTAACTTTACGTGGTCCAGATTGATTTTCATCACTGCATGTCTGCTCTTTTATGATTTCCTCGCCTGTCTGACACATTTCGTCGAAAACACTGTCGTCCTGCCAATCCTGAAACAATCTATCACGTTGACTATCTCGACTCTCTTTGTCAATCGAATAGACGTGAATGCATGGCAACCTCAAACAAACTCTCGACTATATCGAGTTCACCTAAGTCGACCCCTGAGAAATTTTCGGGATCCAGGCTCCATGGTTTCCTGGAGATAACAATCATATAAAGAATCTGTTGTGCGTTCGAAATTCCGCTATATATACCCTGTATATACAGTAATTTGGTGTATATACAGTAATTGTCCGGTATAGCTTTGTCGGCATTCATGCAATTGTGATCATGTTAATCAGAAAAACCTCCAGTATATTCTCGAATAGAGTAAATTAAATCTGCTTAAAAGTGTCGGAAGCATTGCATATATGATATATTATTTTTCTTAATATTATACTTGCTTGATTTGGATTTGTTTTATGTATCGCCAATGGAAGAATAATACATTTTTTCAATTATAAACTTATTTCAATTACATCAATTAAATATGGTTCCTCGTGTAGAAGGCTTGCTATTTAAGAGGGCCTGCTTTTCCAACAAATGATAGCGGTATAATATATTTCAGTTAGATAAAGTCTACTGCAAAACATGTCCTCCTTCATGAATCATGTGCAGGACAATTTGCAACCATTGCCAAAATATAAAATATATATGCAATAACCTTGCGTTTTGGGAATATGTTGCAAACTGATTATTTCAAATTTAGTTTTTTAGGTGGGTATAAAAGTGCACTCTTGAAAGGAAGATGTTATACATCAACGATGATACCAAGCACTCTTTAATTCGAATATTTTTGAACGAAAAAAGTTTAAAAATGATTTATTTTTATTTTTGGTCATTAATTAATGCCTGAAAAGGAGCTATGGGCGTTTTTCAAAAGATGGCAGCTAAGTGCTGATTTCGTTACAATACACGAGTTACTGAATGTGCATGACAAATGTTCCATTAATCTGTTTCTTCTTTCGAAAATATTCACTTTTAAAAATATTGAAATTTTTACTGTTCCAAATAATTCTGTTAAAAGCAATTAACTTTTACAATTCGAACTTCTTTAATTTAATTTCAAGTTTGGTCAAAACCAAGCGCCGTGAGTGATTGAATACACCCTTTCAATAATTAGGTTATTTGGCCTGGGAGCCTCAGTCTCATGAATCGCGAGCCAATCACCTTGTGTAATTTACTAATAAGAGCGAGGCTCCAAGACCAAAAAGTATATTCAGTTTGACGTAATTATCGAAAGGGTGTATTGAAAACATTAATTTTAATGTACCTTTATTTTATTTCTTCTTAATTTAAAGAAAGACTTGTTTGTTTTCAAAGACCACATCAGCTGCCATCTTTATAAAAATGTCTAGGTATTGTGATTTACAAATGTGTTTGACAACCTGCTGACCTGATGGGGGAAAAGACCTGGAAATTGCAACAAAATAGAGACATCATGCATGCATAGAAAACACTGATTACAAATTATGATGAATCGATGACATCAAACGTCATAATATATCGAGTGATTTTTTCTATTCCCACACATATACAACTAATCCCAGGCCTTTTCCGTTTTGTCAGATCACAGCATTTTGCTCCAACATTGATTTGTACAACCAGTTTCATGTTTGTGAAGAATATTTCGTTTATATATAGCTTGTACATTTTTATCATGTATGTTGCACCGCGATACAAGCCAATGGGTACTAATATAAACAGCATTTTCCATCATAACGTGAAGTGCTTGCCATCGATTCGAACTTAAAACTGATATACAATGGATAAAAAGAATAGACCGTTGGAATTGCAATATATATATATCGTCACCACCACACCTGAATTGCAACTAACTTATTAAAGATTCGTGCTACGAAAGACAAGATTGATACAGTTTTGCGACGAGATATCATCAAGCTATTCCGAAATAGAAAACAAAGATACAATATGAGCAAGTCAGTTGACGAGTAAATATTCGAACTTGAAAACATGAAAAACAATCAACAACAGGAAATAGCGTTGAAGTTTGAATGTATGATGAGCATTCAACATCCATCTCTCGTCCTCACAAAATTTGCCGTCGAGATTTATAATAATTTTCTGCGGGTTGTGAAAAAATTATGAATGAAAAGAATCGACGAAGACTACTCAACAGTAAAGTCTTCCACCGAATACAACGAATGTATCTCGTCTCTGTACACGATGGCAAACATATATGAGAATTTCATGATTGCTGCACACATGCAGTTAAAGTATGATTGAAATGATATCTATAAACATCACTATATACAATCACTCCTCGAGTCACTCAGTACATGTACAAACTACAGATATGAATGCATGCACTTTTTCTTACAAAGAAAACAATTAATTATTATTATGTACATGTACCGTAGATCGATTGCTAACGTGGCTATGACTCAACATTTACTTTTGAAAAATCCTGTATATTTTAAACCATTTATATCCGCTTTATTTATAAAAGCCAATTGTACACCATGATGGTATTTAATAAAGTTTAACGGCAAAAGGTTAACGAGTGTTCCTTCCTCGAGGCATATGACACGAAAATTGTGGGCTACTGCTAAACGCCGTTTTCCACTTCAGCCGTATCGTAATGTGATGTAACGAAGCGTATTTCTTTGACATCTTTGTTTCCTGAGCACTAGAGTGGAACTAATATTTCGACACAAAAGAAAATGCGATGATACGTGACTATTTAAAGCACGCGTATAGGAGTGTTTTATCACATATAAAACACGATGCGTAGCGGAGTGTTTTATATGTGATGAAACACGACTACAAGTGCTTTAAATGGCTTAAAAAACGACTCCTCTTATACGAGTTCATTGGCGAAGTAATTTTTAAAATAAACTTTGTCTAAACCGAGAAAATCAAAGCTAAAGTTTATGTAAATTAACGTGATTTTTTATCACATATAAAACCACGACACGCTTATGATAGTTAACACGCTTTGAAGTTAGGATAGAGTTCAGACTGTTCAGTGAAGTGTGTAAAGCCTGCATGTTTTCCACTTGTCGTGTGTCGTAGCATTTTCTTTTGCGTCGAAGTCATTAGTTAAATTCCACACTACCGCTCAGGAAACAAAGAAATACGCTACGTTTCGGTACGATACGGTTGACGTGGAAACTAGCTTAAAGCCAGTTTTCCACTTCAATCGTACCGAAACGTAGCGTATTTCTTTGTTTCCTGAGCGGTAGTGTGGAACTAATGACTTCGACACAAAAGAAAATGGTACGTTGCGTTACGATACGGTTGAAGTGGAAAACTGGATTAAATTAAGGACGTTTTCCAGTAACGTATCGTAGCATTTTCCTTTGTGTTGAAGCCGTTAGTTCCACTCTAGTGCTCAGGGAACAAAGAATATACGGCGTATACGCTTCGGTTGAAGTGGAATACAGCCTTAACGACCTATAAAGGATGCGCAGGAACCTGGAATAGCGCATAATTTATGCAAATTATCGCAATTAATCACCGCGTACGAGACGTTAGCGCTAGCCCTGGGTTACCATTTAACCTGCTGTTTCTGTATTTCTGCACATCTGCTTGTTTCAAAACTTCAGAAAAGAAAACTCTCATTGATTCGTACAAGATTTCTGAAGAAATATTTCCAAGTTTACTACTACCTGAAAAATGTCATCAAAACTTCAATGTTTAGAGCGAAGGCCCCTGTCTAGTAATCTGTCTAGTAATCGTCGCTATATCTTGTTGTCGTACCTATACATTGAATCTTGTTGTCGTACCTATACCAATTTACCTATACCTCGATCATCCTCGTACCCAGGGTCTTTCTGGCCGTGCACCGAGTATAAGAGAAAATAGCCTGGGTACGAGGTTGTACGTCGATCCCTATATATCGTTGGTAGGGATGTAACTACCTGAGAAAATATAAGGAGAATTTCTGAGATTCTCATTTTTGAAATTCTCATATTTTTCAGGTAGTTGCATCCCTATACCTACACTGGCACAGACAGTGTTCAAGATTACATGCGTGGATACTGTCGAATCGTCACTTTTACTTTTTGCATTTCTTGAGGTATATATTTCTGAGATACATCTCTGAAAACGTGGCCACACACACCCTGAAAAATATTATCGCTAATGTCTTGTACGGTGATTAGGTGCGATACTTTGCATTAAGTTAAAAAGTATAGAATATTTAACAGTTAATCGCCGAAGGCGAAGTGATTACCGGTGAATATTCACCGAGACGAAGTCGAGGTGAATATTCACCGTAATCACTGAGCTTGAGGCGAATAATTGTTTTAGTATAAATTTTTAATGAATAAAACAAAATATCCAAATATCAGTTCAATTAAAATTCAGAAATAAAACTGTTTTCGGTCTGTTCACGGTTGATACTGTCACTGACAGTGTTACAGCGTTTCTTGTACGCACACGCTTTCAAAATGGCTTCTTGTGTGACTTTATTGCTTTAATTTATTACAAAGTTGTTTTTCTCGATTTCTGCTTAAATATAATAAACACAATAACGGAATGACTTTTTCACCAGAATTAAAAGTTTCTGTTTAGCATTAATTTTTCAGGAAATGGCTGAGAAATTTGGTAAAATAAAATGTGAAACTATATCGTTCGAAATAAAGTTTTAATACACTTTTCACTTTACAAGTTCCGAAAACACAATACAGCGGTCAGAACGCCATACCGAACAATGAAAACATGACATACCAAAAGAAACAGTATCCGACAAATTGAGAAATCTATAGGATACAAAACAAAATGGATTTAATTATTTAAAAGAATATCACGGCAAGGTTTTTCCCAACAGTCGGGATACTTTTTGCTATTTAAATAAGTTTTAAATTGTCCGTGATTCGTGAATACGTTTGACACAGTAAAATAATAAATGAATCCTATACCTTTCAAGTTAAATACAACATTTTGTGCTTCTTTTGTTTTCTGGGGCCGGTTGTATAAAAAAGTGATTAAAGTTAACTATGGTTAAGTGCAAACGTCATCCAATAAGAAGCGCGTATTTGAGAGTTAATCACTATTTAACTACAAAATATAGTGATTAAAAAAGTGATTAAGAGTTTTATACAACCGGCCCCGCGGGACGAGTTCAGTTTCAATCTTTTGTCGATTTTGAAACCGGCAAATTTGCCGAATCATTCTTTTTGAAAAGCATTATTTACTAGTCTAGTCAGTCTAGTCTGCTAGTAAAGAATGCGTCAGATTTACTAGTCAACTAGCCAATCAGAACGTGCGAAAGCTTATTTGTTATGCAAAATTTACACTAAAGATATTTAATAACCTGCGATCAGGCGTTCCATTTTCGAGGGCCTGATCGCAGGTTAGGTATTTAAAGGCCCAGTGTCACCAGTTGAGCAATGTTATTTAATAATTGCTAAAATTTACTGCTGACCATGCCCACATGGTCCAGTTTGAAAAAGTTCGTATTCGTGCAATATTGACCAGAGCGTTTATATGACAAGTGCCCTGGTATACTGACGTCTGAGCCAATAGCCTATAATACCCTTTTACACTTGTAATTTTTGCTGCGATTGCAGGTGCGATTTTCGTCTTCTGATGGATGTGAACGTATAGAAGTAGCAGAGTTATGACTATTCAGATAATCAGATGATGGTGTTTCCACTCGTTCATGCACATGCATCAGATGACGAAAATTGCAGTAGAAATCGCAGCAAAAATTGCCGCAATTATATAAACGGACCTTAAATTATACTCGGCCCATCAAATACCATTTAACTCAGTCAAATCAATCACGAATAGTTTCGAAGATCCGATATTTCTTCAACCTAAAATGCTTTTCCTTGAACACGAATACACCGTCTGGGAAAACCTACGGTGCATATAGTTGCAAGTTTTATAATTCTTGTTATAATGTTTCAATGTTCAGTCTCTCCAGGCTAGCTTGGTTTTTAAATAGTAGTGCCTATAGTGGCCTCGCCATGGTTGTTGAGAGGAGGGGGGGGAGCTGTATAGAAATGTGCATGCCCACGGCCATTAAATTGTATCCAAATGGAGAAAAGACAAAAATTGAACAAGCAAAATTTGAGAGATAATGTCAGGGTTAACAGATATTAAAGCGAGCCTGTAGCTTATAGATACCAGGACGCAACTTATTTTACTACGTAGAATATTTGACAGATCAATTTAATCAAAGTGTAGTACTGACGAGAACGAGTTATAACATTGAATTGAATTGATTTAATAATTACTGACTTTGTAACCCAAAAGGTTAAATTACACCAGTATAATTACATAAATTTAAAAGAAGTTAAACTACATAATTATTACATATTTAAGAGTATTTACATTTCTAAAACTTATTTATTGTTTATCTTTAAAATACTTTAAGGCAAGAACGAATTCTTATTAATTTCTTAAAACGTTCAGTTCTACAAGCATAATTATGATATTTACATATTGGTCTTAGATCGTATATCATGCAGATAAAATTTGTTGGTGGTAAGAGATCTTTAACGTACACACACAATAATAAAGCACAAATTTATTGATATTATTTAATGACATAAAGACATTTTTATAACATGAAGACATTTTTATAAGCAGTATTGTTATATAGCTAGCGTGAACATGCACCAAACGTGATTGGCTGATTTGTGGTCACGTGATTATAGTTCTGGTTCTGTATCAGGCGTTTATTACTTTATTTGTTTGCAGGCGGCGAGTCTGTGAAAGAGAAGGCCTCAGCAGGCGTCTTAATTGTTTTAAGCCCAAAGCAATGGACTGGGACACAGGCTACAATCAGGAACAAAAACTATTGAGACAACCGCATAAGTGCCCCCCTCACCGCCAATTCAATAGGGAGTTTAAGATGCCGACAACGAACAACGGGTACGGAGTACGGTTGAAAGCTTGTTTTCGCATTGCTTTAACAAAGGCAGACAAAATTTACATATCCCCAGAGCATACTTTTCACCGTAGCGACCTTGGCTACAGCGTAAAAATCACATTCTTGTGTTGTATAACAGCATCAAGAACATAGCACCTAACTAACTACGGCCCGTTTCATACGCCGTACTTCACATGTGCCGAATACATTAAAAACAATAGGTAATGAGGCATTTCAGCTCATTACCTATTGTCTTTAATGTATTCGGCACATGAGAAGTACGGCGTATGAAACGGGCCTACGCAACGTTGCAGGTTGGAGAGTATTTTTATAAAGAAATGATGAAAATTAAAAGATGAAACTAGCCGAACACAAAGCCATGCACATAAAACGTATTTGGGATAAATTTGTTATGACAATTAAGCATTTAGTATTACTATTTCAAACGTAGTCGGTAGTTCGTCGTGAAGATCTTAAACTCCCTAATGTTGTGTGGATGACTGAAAAGAGAAAATTCAACCCACTTTTTCCAACATTGATCATGGGAGCAGGGGGGAGGCCGACGTACTTTAAAATGGCCAAACATGTGAAAAGTCTCATTTATTTATTTTTGCACGCGATTGTAGGTGTTGACGAATTGAAGTACGCTTCAATAGATCGTCAATAATGAACAGTTGCTGTAAACCGCTCGAAAATGTTCCATGGTTCCATATATATTAATAGGCATTATAAAATAACATGTATATAACGCGTATTCTGATTGGTCGAAAGCCGTGTTTGGATCAGGCCATCCAAACACGGAAGACTATCGTGTTGTTGTTATTTTATAAAACAATTACTTTATGGTTTCCGTGTTTGGATGGACTGATCCAAACACTTGGGAATGTGTTTGGATCAGGTCATCCAAACACGGAAACCATAAAGTAATTGTATAATTCCAGCTTTTAGTTTATGCGTGCAGGGGACGATGGGAAGTAATGTATCACATTGCTGATTATGCTGAAAAAATAAAAATGGTGAAAAAAATAAAAGTGATAGCTTACACTTGTAAATATTGACATATTTCGGTTGCTTCGGTAGTTTTTAATGAAATTTTTCAGCATAATCAGCAATATGATACCTTACTTCCCATCATCCCCTGCAGGCATAAACTAAAAGCTGGGCAATTGCTAGATAATATACTTCAAAATAAGGTTTCCGTTTTTATATCAATTTTTAAAATAAGTTAGGGTTAGGTTAGGGTTTAGGTTAGGGTTAGGTTGGGGTTAGGGTAAGGGCTAATAGTATTAGGGTTAGGGTTTAGTTTTGTGTTAGGATAGTTTTTTCTACGTTATAAAAACGGAAACCTTATTTTGAAGTATACTATCTAGCGATCACCCTAAAAGCTGGAATTGCCTATTGCTACTTTGCTAGCGCAAACTGGACTGTAGAGTTTTTCCGTGCGTGGGGTGACAAGGCGCGGTCTATTCATTACTTATTGCTGATAAAAATACACATTAACCTCTTGGCTTTTTGCTATTATTTGTCACCACCTGTTAAATACCTTGCGAGTTTCAACTAGTTTCTATTATGTAAAAAAAATAATAAAATTTAACATCTAAACTGTAGTTGTCAAAAACTATTAAGAGTTAAGCTACACTCTAGTACAAATATCTATATCACTGGTGTCGGTGAATTATGCTGATGAGTATACACGACAGCGCGAGTTGGCAGTTGAGACTCGACAAATAGAAACCTTAAGAGTGACGTCTACGGCAGACCTCTAACCGCAAACGGTCAACTTTGATATTATGGCAATTTTAACATTAAAATTGAAGCATGAATGAGCTACTTATAGCTATCAAAAACTTGTAGAACTTACCTTCAAATGGGATTTGAAGTTTGCTGTTTGTGGTTAATCTTAAAGTCTCTATATAATATGCCAAATAACAATAATATATCTTTGGAAACTTCGTGAACGGAATAATTTAATATAACTAGCCGTGCGTAGAATTAAACACAGTTGCGTCGTGGCGTTAACAGAAATTAGCAGTTCACACGAGGGTGTACAATTCCAAAATTTAAATAACTTTATCATTAGCCGGGGCATTCAAGGCGCTTTAACACTCGCCCAGAAGAGTAGGAGGACGGCCCCTTGTAGAATTCTGCTGATTAATTAGCCAATCAGCTTGAGAATGCGTATGGCTGAAAAATACGAGCTAAATGCGGGAAGTCATCAAATGGCAAAGCGGACAGTGGACATCAGCATCTCGTAAAGGCTAACTGTGTGGTACATATATTATAATCTGTATGCTAAATTTGACCATGGAAATGGCTAAGAAAATCATATTTGTGGGAGGAATTTTACTCGCATTACAAGCTTGTGGAACAGGAGGAAGCTTATTGTATGTACATAAATATCTTATAACCATATGTTTAATGCTATTTGTCGCTTAAGGGTTTGACACATACAACAATATGTCAAATATCAATTCTTGTTCTCTCTAATTTCAGTCAGGATTTAGGAATCTGCCAAAACTCACGAAAGAAAGTGTGCTGTATTTTAATTGTTCAATGACTCACAACAAAAGAATGAGTGCATGTATCAACTCGCAATAGTTAAACACGCATGGGAAGTCGACAAATGTGTGTGCCAAAATCTTAAAACTCTCAACATTGATTAAGCCACTTCAAAACTCAAAAGTGAAGAAAACACGCGAGTGGTCCTTTCATCTGCTTCAGTTGTAGGCTTTATATCTGGCAAACAGTGGCGCCGCCAGCTCGATAAATGGGGGGGGGGGGCAATATTCATATCTTCGTGTTCTGCATTATTAACTTCTTTTGAAATCGATTGTTTTTATGGTCTGTGAACAATATTCGCCACCCCAATTATCGAGATGGCGGCGCCACTGCTGGCAAACAATAAACAACTGCTTCCATACTGTTTTTCAATGCGCTGGTATAAATTCAGACGAATTAAATTTCATGCAGTTCGTTTTCAATTTAACTATAAGTATAAAGAATTAAAGATGGCCATTTCCAAATTGACGCATGTCTTCTCTAGACAAGTATTTAATTAACTGGATACTGGATGTGGCTTATAGTGCGGCTAGTTAGTCGATGATGACATTGCCATTTGTTTTTCTTCTCATGCCGTTTAGGTTTTTACTTAAAATGTAACGCGTTCAGTTTGTCGGTGAAGTATTCTGCACATGTTCTTTGTCTTGTAACTTAACCGAGATTACAAATCCAGAGACTATCCATAAGAAAATGGAACAGACAAACAAGAATCTCCCACTATTGGGGAGACGTATAGAAAGGTCAAATTCTATACCTTTTGAAGTGGCTATTTGTTCAAGAGAAAGTTTACACATGCACTTTATTATAGTACTTCCTGATCCAATAAAAGATTTAATGTATACTATATATAGTTAGTTTTGAAGTTTGAATGGCTGAAATGAAATTTATAGCATTATGTATATCTGAGGAGCCCTCTCTCGAGCTAGGTTTTCAGTTATTAGGATAGCAGTTATACGTAATTGTCTTTAGTGTATATGCGGCAGTGTACGTATACGTTCTTGTCTATTCTTAAAGATGGACGAAATTTGCGTCTGTTGGGTTAAACCAAGTACCAGTTGAAGTAAACACCACTGTCTGTGCTCATATCACTGGCTTTGTGAGTGAACAACGTCGAATATGCGAGTCCAAGCCGTTGGTCGTACCGAGTATCAGAAAGGGAGTGCTTTTGGCAATGGAAGAATGTAAAAAACAGTTGAGCAAAGAACGATGGGATTGTTCAACGATGACCGAAGCAACAGCTTTGAAAGGATTGCTCGCCATACGTAAGTAGTTTGGGGTAATATGGCATCGAATTTTATAGTCACAAGGAGTATATACAAATTCCAAAACGACAAAAATCCTACAGTTTGTACAATACAGGATTTCAATTTGAAATTCCAATACGAAATACATTCCTTTGGTCCATTCCTGCAGAAATTCCTATAGGATTCTCGTCAAATAATTTTGGACGAACCGGATGAAAAGGAATAGTATATGAACGTACTGTAGACAAAAGTATAGCAAGTCAACAACTTGTCTGTTTATAATGAATCTGTCCGTATCTCCTAATAACATTTAAGTTGTGTTTTTAAAAAGATACGGAAATTATTTCAATCAGGTTAGCCTCGCCACTGTAACTTACACTGTAACGTAATTATTTTCTTACAGCAAGTAAGGAGACAGCGTTTGTGTACGCACTGACTTCAGCTGCCGTGGTTCATGCTGTGACAAAGTCTTGTACTGCAGGAGATCTACCAGACTGCGCATGTAAGAAATCCAAAAACAAGTATTATGGAAAAATTAAGGCACGTTGTGATGAGAATATTCAATACGGGATCTTGTTTTCGCAACTTTTTGTCGATGCACCGGATCAAGACAAGCAGGCAAGATTAAAATTTCGTCGCAGTGGACAAAACCTGGTTAATCTTCACAACAGCAGGGCAGGAAGACAGGTAATACTATAACACTGTTAAAACCCTGGAAGAACTAATTCTGTAATGCTTTTAGAATCAAACCTCCTGCACCCCGTACCAATTATTGTCCACATTCAATCTGCTGACTGGAATTTTCTGGGCATTCTGCTCATTCATGTGACAATCAAACTCTTAAATTTGAAGCCACCTGGGCTGATGACTGCATTGGTTTCGACAATTATAAATAGTTGCACAGTTAATGGATTGAGCAGAAGTTTCTTAAAAACGCAAACGATATCGGCGAGTGCACAAATTAACCAGGAAGCGCGGGTTATGCACGGCCTCGATAAAGTCCGCTCTTCATTCCGTTCGAGCGCGCTACGTCCCGTCCACACTGTATTGAGTTTAGAGTTCCTTCACGATGTTTATCAAATATGTGTCTGTAAACAGCAGCATATGTCCAAAACACCTTTGACATTTAACACATTTTTGTGTTTTTGATTTGTACAGCAAGGTGCTTGCCCCAAACTGTGCGCATATCGCAAACGAACGCTATACTTATCAGCAAGGCAACGCCGCCAACGCGGCGTAACTGAATTGCCAAAAAGTCCGTTTAATCATATCGCTATAATAGTTATTTTCCAAGTCTCGACTGTTTTTAATTCACTGTAACCCAAAAGATAACAGAGGCTTTCGTCATTTTGAGTCGAAAATTACACATATGCAGGACAATGTGCACTAAAACAACACTACACCACTAAGGACACTGCATCGGTCGATTATTCCTGATTGAACCTTTCTCAAATTTTATATCAGTTTTAATCATATATCAACCATTCAACCTTCGATGATGATGGTGATGAAGCAAGTGTTGTTTCGTGCATTTTTACGCACCACACATGCATGAGCCATGAGGAAAGTCTATGCAGTCGAGACATAAATGAGTGCAACCATGAATAACAAGATACTCACTAGCCATTTTCTTTTTCTCAACGTTTTATATAGTGCTAGTTTTTTCGTCCTGTTTTTATATATTAAATATAGTCGTTTCGTTATCGCCGCAGCCGCAGGTAAATCAGTTAAGTGCATGCAGATCACCTTGATATGAACTGATAAAGACGAGCACCAAAGTGCATAATTTAGTATATCTTCATGCATCGCGTAGTAAACTGATGATGATTGTATCTCGGTCGCATGCACGCGTACGTTAATACTGCAGCTTTCAGTTTATTTTAATTCAAACAACACTGCATGTTTTCTCCCAGTAAAATTGTTCATAAAGGAATGAAACCAAATAGAAGCCAAATATTATTTCGACATTTTCTGTAAAACATTATTTTTATCATATTACGCAGTCCGTAGGCCTACAGTTTACCTACACTCATTACAGTCAATTTCACTTGAATTTTTGCACTCATTATTCCACATGATTCCAAGTGCTGACATTTTTATTACTTTGAAGATAAATGTATATAAACGTCATATGTTATCACTTTTTCAACAGGAAGAACTACTGAAGTAAACGTTCCTTTCAATATAACTATAAGCTATGAAATTACAATTTTAGGCCACAACTGTCGTAATAATAGTGAGCTTAAGCAAGCGACGTTTTTGCCAACACGGACGTCACTCGACTAAATTGGTATATGTAATTTTGGCGGCTTTTTGCATCATAGCGCTCATGTAAGGAAGCAAAAAAACTTTAAAAATCTTATGTTTTGTCATTTGTGGTGAAGATTATCACAAACTGACACAAACACAGTTTCCATGCAGTTCCCCTCGGCAATCTGGCGTCCGTGTTGACAAAAGCGTCGCTTGCTAGTTAAGCTCGCTAATAGAGACCTAGCTTATGATTTAGGACGGCAACGCGACGGCAACGGCTACCAATACAATAAACATTGAAAAGAATTGAATAATTACAATATATGAATAATTTAAACATTGTCTTCGCTCTGTTTACAACGCCAAATCACAGATTTTCACGTGTTGATAGGCTGCAACGGCTGCATTTCAAACTGGGTTCAGCAGAACTCTTCCCAACCATATTATTAAAAGCCCACGCATGTCTTCAACTTCTAAGACTGTATTAAATTCATACGATTGACAATATACGACGAATTATCTTTACTACCATTTATTTGAGAGAATTTTGTTTTGGCCGTCGTCGTCGCGTTGCCGTCCTAAAATCGTATAAGGTCTCTAAAGTGAAGTACGTAATGCGCAAAAACGCGCACATTCTTGATCACTATTCCTTAGACGGAAATCTTGTATGCTAACCTTTAACTGATTTGTCATCAATCATTTCGAAGATGTAAGTGAAATCTCATGCTCGTATTTTAATTTAAGAGATCACGCGTAACTGAACAAATCATGAAGCTTATCGGATATTGAATATTTACTTATCTTAATTAAAAGCTGTTAGACGACGATTTGTAAACATGGACTGTGTAAGGTAAATATTCCTAAGGTCAACATTGTAACAAAGTGTTAAGAATCTCATCATAAACTGAAACCATTTTGGCAATGAAACTGCATGACCCGGCTGTTATATTCTGGGAGTATTTGGACTAGTCCCAGTGATTTAGTTTTGGTTCAATCTAGACACCATGAGCCATCAGCTTGAGATTTTTCGTAAATTTCATTGTTTTTCAGTCTTAATATCATAGAAGACGGTTCCGTTCTTCCGCGGTTGAACAAATTCTTGTCGCATGCTTTAACATAGATGAAAAAATCGGATATTCATTAAAAAGATAGCGCCAATCTTTAGTATACTATTCATAGCATGCGTGACACTTTCCTCTAAAAGTGTGATAGAACTGTACTGTGATTTTATGTACTGTGACTCTATACTGAATCGTTACTCTTACTTTGATCGGTTCTACACTGTCCAATCCGCAACAATTATATAATTATTAAATGAGGTTGAGCATGATATGAAGAATTACCAAGCCGAAGTTTGCGTTACCAACTGAAACCGAAGGCTGGACCGCTGGAGTAAAACAGCGGTCGGTTGTGGGGGCGAAAGAAAGTAATTTAGTAATTTATTTAAGAAAGTAATTTAGGGATTTAATTTCGGGCTGCGAGCAGGCTAATTGGCTAACAGCCAACTGTGAAATTGTCATATCAACTTAATATAGCTCACCAAATATGGAATTTAGACGTAATATTCAAAGAAGAACGTCATGCACAATTTCTCACTCCTTCAGCAGTTGCGCGAGCAGGCTATTAGCCAACCAGAAATCACAAATTCTTGATAGCATAATACTATAAATAATAGTATAGAATAGTATCACAAGATCTTCCACTTTTTCTCTCTTGGTATGGATTTGAGTCACTAAATGCCAATACCATTAAAATACAATACCAATCCATTTTACCGGATTTTACGAAAAGAAACTATACAATTTTTCTCAGTGTAACCTAAAGGCCTGTACCGGGCACGGATGATATTTTAAAGTGTTTTCAAATTTGGATTGTGACTGGTGGAAAACGTTTACATGAAAATAGTTATGCCATGATTACTTTAATCATCGATAATCAGAAAAGTATTAAAAATAAAACGTTGATGGAATAGAAAACGAATAATTAAATTATCCCATGAAATGGAGGAAGAGAGTAAACATTATTTATCCCTCAAAAGCAGCTTGTCTCTACTATATAATTACTTTTTACGATCAATCCAAATTCAAAAAAGAAACGGATTCTAGAATATGCAATAAATTCTTGAAAAAAGTAAAACGGCCGAGCGTTCATTCTATCAAAATCCAGCATTTTATGCAAATTATGAAATATCATATATCCTAACGTCCTAACTGGTTTTTATTTCTTGGGGTTGGTCAGTTCAATGACCCTTTAATCCTTTTTAAATTGCACGTGACGCATTTTCGCATTAGTTGGCTGCGCAAACTCGCTACAGGTGAATGAAAATCTGATCTACCGTCTAAAAATATTGACGTCAACACATTCGCGTTACCTACAAGGAATGCTAGACAATTAAGCTCCAGTGAAGCGCGCGGCAAGTTGTTTAAATTACCACAGTGTAAGCCTGATCCGATTTACTTTTCCAGCTGCGAGTTTGATTTGTTGTTTTGGTTTAATTAACGTCATGTTGAAACGGGTGGCAATGACCGAAAAACGGAAGAAGCTAAAAATATTCAATATTCTCATACTGTTCCGAAGTTTTCAAGAAACAGATGACAGATATATATTTGTATATTATTCGCATTTTAAACGCATAATAACTTAATTAGTAGCAGCCAGCAAAATCAATGTCAGCAACAATTCATTAATTAACTAAATTGGGGGTGTTGCAGCCTAGACCTAGGCCTTCTATTTTTATTCATATATTTTTAATATTCAACGCTTTTTCACATTGAAAAGACTGGGACTAGGCGATTGCGTCCTTCCTCCGCCCCGCCCCCAAATCACCTAGTCCCAGTCTTTTCATGTGAAAAAGCGCTGAATATTAAAAAAATAAAAATAGAAGACCTACTAGGTCTAGGCTGGGGGTGTGTTAGGCTAAGAGAAGAGGTTTTAAAAAAATTGAAGAAAAGATAAAAGAGGGAGCTGGTGATATATAAATTTTACTGATATATGCACAATACATGTTATAATCTTTGTTAATCACTACTTCAATCTTGTATTAAATTAACTCATTTTAAGAAAATAAAATATAAAACAAAAACCGAAAAATATGGACTAAAACAAGACGTAAATTTATAATTAAATGGTTATATTCGATGCCATTACAAAATCATCATCAACTCTCAATTTGTAATATATATCTTTTTTCTTCAATCGTTACACTTTACGTATTATAGAAAAAGAGTAAAAAGATCATTTCCACGACATAATTTTTTTTTCATCAAGTGCTTCCTGAATTAAAGCATATCATTTCGGGAACAATTACTTGAGGGATGATATTAAACGTCTTAAAAGAATTTTGCCATTCCGGGGACCTCAGATCTCAACATTTTCCATGACCACTGCCTATTTGATATGAATAATTTGATAAGAATTTGAAAGGAACGTGACGTCTCAAAATTGAAATCGACTGTATCGGTTTTTGTTAAATATCCAGACAGTGGTAAATTTCCGGTTTACGCAGGAATTAAATCGCGTAATAAAATCAACGGGGAAGCAAGTTTTTTAAAATTTCCCCGAAATCGTTGAAGCATTAATTGTCTGCACGGCTATAGTCCAACACTGATCACGCACTTTGTTTAATTAAGCACGTTTGTTTAATTAAGCACGTATAACATTCACACAATTGTTGCGCACGCGCAGAAATAAAATTTCCATCATACCATATACCTATAGCATATCACATGCATACTCAAAACCATACATTGTTCAACATTGACTTAATTAGTTTTCTTTAGGCTGTACTTACATCAATAAAAACCCGTTGTCGTTGTTACGGTGTTTCGCACGGTTGCGCTGTACGATCCTGCTGGAAGGTGCTAGCGAAATTTGAGGAAATCGGCCATCTGTTAAAGAAAAGCTACGAGAATTCCGTGGAGGTCATGTTCGCGAAACGAAAACGCAAACTAAAGAGAAAAGCGAACAGAAAAATTCGACTAGAGCAAAGTGAACTTGTGTACATGAAACGATCGCCGAACTATTGCCGATCAAACCCGCGAATTGGAATTTCGGGGACATCCGGAAGAGTGTGCCAAAGAGATTCTGAGGACTCTATGAACAGTTGTGCACTGCTGTGTTGTGGTCATGGGTATAACACGCAGATTGCACGTGAGAAAAAGTTGTGCAATTGTCGTTTCCATTGGTGTTGTCGTGTCGAATGCGATACATGCGAAGATGTTTATGATAGGTACACTTGCAAGTAGTTATGTAGTATTCAGTATTGCAGTCCTCGCAATTTTAATAAATCATCTATATTTATAGAATTTTCTTCTGTAATTTAGAGTTCGGGCAGCAGTTTGCAGCAGTCCATATATAATGACAATTTGCGTAAAGATGCATGCTAATAATGACAAATAGATTGTTCTGAAAACTACCAGAAGTACTGATATCTTATACATTCACTTAATTGTTGTTAAATCTTTGAATAATTCTCATACAATTATATAGGTTATCATACGAGGGGCGAGGCGATATCAGTTTTAGGGACGATATCACAAATGAGGGACGATATCACAAATGATATCGTCCTGATAAAACTGATGTCGCCTCGTCCCGATTATGATAACCTGGTTTTTTTGGGGTTTTTTAAACTTTATTTTGATGAGAGTAAATATACATTTTTACCTGAGAAAGGTATTCTACCAAATGGCCCTCTATAAAATTAAATAAGCTATTTACAATATATAAAAAAGCTAGACTAGTTGCATTTGACACAGCACATGGGACTATACGTCTTTAGTATAAATTTCCAGGTGACTATTGATTTTTCTGCATTCTGATTGGTCAAGATTCACTGTCTCTGAAGTGATAGTCACTGGTCAGTGACTATAGCTTTTTTTTCAAAATGGCTGCTCGTTTTGCCGTAGTAACAGAAGAGGAAATTGCCAAAATTAAAGAAGATAGCATTCCGAAAAAACCCAAACAAGCTACAAAATATGGTTTAAAAATATTTCAAGGTAAAATACTAAACTTTACGTGCTTTTATTTGGAAAAAAACTGGCTTAGTCGCAACGCGAAACAGAGCCGTGTCTGAGATTTAAATTTTGTAAACAAACTATTTATAGTGAAAATAAATTTATTTGAAGTGAATTTTTATAAAGTTGTGTGGATTATTGTTTGTAAACACCTGGAAATTTATACTAAAACAATTAGTCGCCTTAGGCTCGGTGATTACAAGCCTATATTCACTTCGCCTTCGGCTCAGTGAATATAGGCTTGTAATCACCTCGCCTTCGGCGACTAATTGTTAAATAGTACCAAATACAAGAATATTAACTATATTACTAAGCATGCATGTTTTTTTAAAATTTTGACAATATACAGTTTATTACATACTTGCGCCTTTGACTTTGTCAGTGTCAGAATTTATTACTAGAATATTATCATTGCCCCAATGGTTGCAACAATTGTTGAACTAGCGGGACAAAAGCGATATTAGTGACAAGAAACGATATCAGTGACAAAAAAGATATCCGGCACCCTCAGTCGCCAGGATAAAGGCGCGTGCAAGTATGACTATAGTATGTAATAAAATTGAAATAATAAGATCTTTGTAAGTTTGCATGGCGATAAAACATATAATAGTTTTGTTTGTGGAAACACCACGTAAATTTATTACATGCAAAGCTTTCGATCCGGGCTTACGGATGAAGATCCGGGCTTACGGATCGAAAGCTTTGCAGTAATAAATTTACGTGGTGCATGTTTCCACAAACAAAACTATTATAAATAATAAGAGTTTGATAATCATCATAATATAGGCAAGAACTTGCCGTCGATAATTTTATTTTCGCCAGCATTATCGGCGGAAATTTCCGTTTGCCGTCGATGATTGCGAGAACTGATATTGGCATTATTTTAAAAATGATAATTATTTTAAAAATAGTAAAAACTATTCACCTCATAGTACTAAAATATTTTTTTTCAAAATCTTTATTATAGAAATAGCCATGCTATTATAGCATAGAACCTAGTTGGAAATACTATAGAAATTTAATTTCCACACAAATTGCCATTTCCGTATAAAGCTAATTCAAAAAGGTTGTCCTTTGCAAACCTTATAATTAAACTCTAAACCTTAAACCTTAAAGACTCTAAGCGTGTAAAGTATAATGGGAGTATCATTTAATCAGTTTAGAAATCATATAAGTTTTACTTAGAGTTTAAGGTTTGCAATGCACAACCTTTTTTGAATTGGCTGTATACCCCTATGGATATACTTATTACTGGGTACACTATGGACTTAAGCCCCGTTTTGGTACGGCACGGATAAAATTGGTACCCTTACCACTTTTTTGGTTCTTGGACTACCTATATTTTGAGCCCCGTTTACACTACGCTCTATTTTTGGTGTACGGTACCAATTTTATCCGTGCCGTACCAAAAAATGAGCGTAGTGTAAACGGGGCTATAGTTATGCAAATATGATTCCCATGATGTGCTATATTTTTTCAACTGTGTAGCATTGGGAAAATATGTGTGTATATGTTAAATGTTAAATAAATATAATTATAAAGAGTATATATCGATATGATTATAACTAAATTTTAATATAATGACGTGCATGGAATTGATTACATGCACATGAATAATGAAAAACCATATATGGTTTTCCATACATGATAACGTCATCCATGCACTTGGGATGTTGCATGCTCGACTTTCGGAAAAGCTTTTTTACGCTTTCCGAAAGTCGAGCAACATCCCAAGTGCGTGAATGACGTTATCCTGCACGGAGAACAATTTGGTAGTTGTTTTATAGAGTGAAGCCAACACTACCACAAGTATTGGGTAGTGTAAATGACCCATTGATCTCCATTTATTACAAATTTAATTTGGAGCCAGCATAGAATATAAGTCAAACTGTGGTTCTCATATACAGTGTACGAATTACAAATTCGTCAAACACAATAACCCTTTCGATAGGTCATGACCTGGAGCCTCGTTTTCGTGTTAATGCTTATTTCCATATTTATTGGTCAAAATAAAGAATTCTTTTTCATGCATGTGTTGAAGAAGGATGTTCTGCTTCTCTGTGCATAGCCCATGAGAAAAAACCATTGAAATCCTTTCCATTTAAGGTGGTCCTAAGTTGAAAACAGTGTAGTTGTGACGTAATTATCGAAAGGGTGTATTAAAGTGTCATTCTGAAGTAATTTCTGCAGTAATGCATTTCATTGTTCTAATCTATTCCAGATATCCACTGTTGTGTGGACGATATTCAATATTTCACTTTATAAATGTTTTATTATAGTTCATTGCAGTGTGCAATGCAACGATGGATAGATAGATAGAAATTTTATTTATACACGCTGACCCCGTCAACCGAAGCTGATTTCCACATGAGATTTTTACATGTACAAGAAAGTGATAATTAGAGCTATTTACAAACGTTTTAAAAGATATAGAGTATTAAAATAGCAGAGATTCCTGCTGTTATTTTTTTGCAAATATTTTTAGTATTACTTTTCCAACGGATAAATGCTGGTCAACTGTTACTCCAAGAGTTTTGCATTCATAAACTTATTTAATTTGTTTATTTTCAATGACAACATTCGGATGAGAATCAGAGATCTTTTGTTTTGAACCAATTAACATGAATTCAGTCTTGGCTACATTAAGGCTAGGTTTAATGGCAATTAACCATTTTCTAAAGTTTTCTAAATCAGAATTTACTGCAGCCTCAAGATCAGTTATAGAATCTCCTGTATGCTGTCAGATTTGTGTCGTCAGCAAACAAACGGGATTTTGTTAAATTTAGACATTGAGTTAAATCATTTACATACAGCAAATAGAATAGTGGCCCCAAAATCCTTGTGGTACGCCACATTTAACCAATCGCTCAGATGAAAAGGACTTTTTTATTTGACATTTCTGTTTTCAGTTTGTGAGATAAGATTTGAGCAAAGCTAGAGCTTGTCCTTTTATTCCATATAACTCTAACTTCCTCAATAGAATTTGATGATCAACAGTATCAAGTGGTTTTTTTAAATCAATTAAAACTACTAGGTTAAACATTTTTCTGTTTAGATTCACATGCCAGTCATTGGTACAGTCCAGTAATGCAGTAGCTGTGGAGTGAAATTTTTGAAACCAAATTGCGAATCACTAAGAACTTCAAATTTTGTTAAATAGTTATACAGTTAATAATATATGATTCGTTCCATAATTTTGCTAATGGCCGGCAAAACTGATATTGGTCAATGGAATATTTCGTTGGCCATTTTTAGCAATTTAGCCATTTTCCATTCATCAGGAAAAGAAGATAGAGCAAATAGCCTGATTAAAAATGTCAGTGAATCTGAAATGACAGGTGCAGCTTTTTTGACAATTTTACAAGAAATCTTGTCAATGCCAGTGGCTTTATTGCTAGAAAGCCCAAGCAAAAGACGACAGACATGTCTAACAGTAACAGATTGGAATGCGGCAAACTCTGATTTACGATTTTTAACATACGTTTCAAAATTGTAGTTTGAAGAATCAATTTTGCTAGCTAAATCAAGGCCAATCAGGCCAATTTTGATCTAGACTGTTAGTTCATTTACCACTGTTGGTTTGTTTTGCCTACCTAATAAACTTAATAAGTTATTAATACTTTTCCAAGCTCTTTTAGGATCGAACTTTTGACCAGCTATTTTCGAGGAATTAATAGTAATCTTTCTTGGCATTCCTTAATTCTATATTTACTTTATTTCTACTTGTTTTATAATTTAACCAATCATTTTCTAGGTTTGTTAAAATGGCTTTTCGTTTTAACTTGTCCCTTGTATATATAAGCTTCTTTATATCGCTTGTAATCCAAGAGATCTTTCTTGATCTAAGTTTTTTATGTTGAAGTGGAGCATGCTTATCTAGGACCTCTAAAAATATTTTTTTCCAAATTTCCCACATGGCATTTGGATCTTCAGGAAAAAATACACATATTCCCAGTGCTGTTTCAGCAGTTCTGCAACAAATTTTTCCTCATCAAATTTTTTCATGTTTCTAATCTCAACAGTATTTTCTTGTTTTTTTTTTACAACAGAAATGTTCCTAATTGCAAATACTAAACTATGATCACTTACACCTGTGCGAATGACACCAGAAGCAGAAATTTCTCTGCATGGTGTATTAGTAACAATATGATCTATTAGACTGGTGGTTGTCATAGTTATTCGAGTAGCTTCATTTATCAGTTGTGATAACTGATATAATTCGTATAATGACTTAATTTTCTTTATTGGGGCGTTAGAATCTTTATCTGTTTTCAGCATATCACAGTTCAGATCACCAAGTACATACATTTCTTTATTTTCATTATCAATAGCTTTACTCAATTTTTCAAAATGGTCAAAGAATTCAGATGATGCACTGCATGGGTGGTCTATAAACTGTTATAACCAGAAACTGTTTGCTATGTGGCTTAATAATTTCAATACAAATAGCTTCTAGTTCAGAGGGAACGAGATCATCTCTTATTTTATAGTTGATAGAGCTACGCAGGCAGATACATACAAATTCCACCACCGTTTCTTGATCTATCTTTTCTAACAACAACATAGCTATTCAGGTTAATCATATTATCTGTTATATTTGCATCAAGTCGTGTCTCATTAAAAGCAATCAGATCAATGAGCTTATTTGACAATGAAAAATTAATCTCATCTATTCTTTTAGGTAAACTAACAATATTTAGAAAAGCCATTTTAAAACCTCTTTCATTTGGAATTGAGCTGAGGGTTTCACAAAATCACTACTCACATTGTTGCCTAAGAAATCCAGTGTAGCTTCTGCATGTTTCAACATTTGTTTCACACGACTCAGATAGATTGTCCAGTCTTTCTGGCGACCAAGAGTTGGTCGAAAAAAATGGTTGCCATTATGGCTTGAAGCCATGTTGGTGTTTCCCATTCTGTTCGAAGTACAAAATGCACTGCAGTCATTATTGATAAAAGTTATTTTATGTTTATAGCTTAAATCATGCAATAGTTGCATGATGATACTTATCTAATTATCTTCTTATTGGAAATTCTGCCATCATTTGTTCTTATCACACTAGACACAGCTACTTAAGTACACTTTGTGCATGGTATTTGACTCTCCCAGTATCATGGCTACATTTGCCCCACATGACAGTTGTCATAAACAAAATCCCAGAATTGCAGAATCACCTATATAAAACATAGAATGGGTTTATTCACATATTACAACAAAGATGGTTGAAGTACGCATGGTTGTTGCCGTTGCTGACTCAACACACTTGTTACAAGTTGTTCGAAAAACTTGTTATCATTCTGCGATTCAACCACTAGTACTGGTCAACAAGTGACGGAAGTGAGTGACAATTACCTGGCATCGCAACAATAACCTAATTGTTACAAGCCTGTTGCTAAGACATCATCTTGTTGACCATTTGTGTGAGTTTTATGTGGAAAGGTTAATTGGAGAGTTATTACAGGGTGATTAATTAAATCGGAGAGTTAAGTTTTCGGAGAGTTGAGGCACGCCCACTTTTTCAAATGACCACACCCAATTTCTTAATAACTCTCCCCGACTATCAACTATCATGTTTGGCGTAACTTTCTTTCACCATGTAACTCACTGTTGTTATGGTTGTGAAGTAAGTCAACGCCGCACATATTTTGAAAAATGTAGCTTGGCGATAGAGTTAATTTTAGGGTTTTTTTTTCTCTTCCAGTACAAACGTTTTGCCATTTATATTGACGCTGTAATTAAATGCCGTCCGGTGTATATTTACATTCCGACTTTGGAGTGGGGAAGATTAAAATATCTCGGCAAGTATCCCCTCCCCCCCTTTAAGACTTTACAAAATGCTCTTTTCAACGGAGGGTTTGAATGCCGTCAAAACAATACACAAACCAAAACAATCGCACATTTACTCATGATTGGCCAAATGTTCTGTATTTCATTTGGATAAAAACCTGAATATCTTCTAAACTCTTCAGAATTCGCCCAAGTCAATATTTTATTCAAGCGCTTTAACAGTATGTAGAAAGTTTCGTTTGAATACGACGAGTAGAAATATTTTGAAATTTTCAAAATATTGGGTTTTTACTCGCACGCGCATGCCACACGCTAAGGGGTTAGAGGTTAGGATTGCCACACGTTAGGGGTTAGAGGTTAGGATTAGGGTTAGGATAAGGATTAGCTTTGGATTAGGGTTACTGTAATTGTAGACCATTACTACCCAATGCTTTATTACACATGGCATTACAACGCCAATAGATTATTGGTTACAACGTGCGGAATGGCTGAAACATCGCATTGTTTCGACAATTAAATTTGTATTTGCTTAGAATTTAGATATTCTGAAATACCGAAATAAAAGATGCAAATCTACAGATACAAGCATGAAAATAACACTCTTGATAGTGTCTTGGATTGTGATTCGAACAAGATGATTACGAAAACGATACGTTGAAAGAGGGCAAAGTTATATTTGGCGAAAGGTAGTAGTATATGGCTTAGTGATATATTGTTTACATTGTTCGAGTATATATTCGAACTGTGTATAGGTAT